AAAGAAGGACCTAATTTCAACATGTTTATCTTCCAGCACTTCCCCATGAAACTGGAGTAAATCTTGTGGGCTGGCATTCAATACTGAGACATTAAAATAGATTTTCTTTAAACTGGGTTAATAAATGTGACATTCTATCCTGAGCAGACTGAAGGAACATAAGTGATGCAGAGGATACATTTTATTCATATTTAACAGGAAAATTACGGCATATATGTTTTTAAGTCAGGAGAAAATAACCACTCCTTCTTTTCACAACATCACCGAACAAAGGATTTGCCAGATCAGAAAAGTAACATTTATTGCCATCCTCATTTTACACATTACAAGCAACATGCAAGGAAAATAGGTTTGGATTCCATAAAACTCTACTCTACTTTTACTTCGAAAGGAGAATAAGACAGTTGTAGGTGTGTGTTCAGCTTCTTGGCTCCATGCCTAGAGTTCTGCTTCACAAATAATCAATCCTGAACTTTGTTTACCAATACGTAAATCCTGATGAGAAGTATCTGTGGATTGACAGAAAGGGATGACTTTCATGTTATACATATGGTATGTATGATTTTGAATCAATTTGGTGGAGAAGTAGGACAAGTTATTGGTACAAAGGGTGATGTTGCCCCAGTCTTGACTTCTACTATATTTTCAGGTTACATTTTGGAAATGAGCGACCTGACTTCAGAAGTATGCTTTTTCAGAAGTATGTTTTTTATTTTGTGAGACTTTGAGGTGTTTTTAAAGGAATAACTATTTTTTAAAAAAGTGGAAGAATATAATGTCATTATTAGGTCAGACTATAATGTCATCATACCACCTCCAAAATTAGTTTTAATTTTTTTCCTTTTACTGAAAAATTTTTCAGCTCCTGTGCAAATGAACTAGAACTCTACAGTTTGGAACATAAGCAGCCAGAGTGACTTTCTCATCATAACCATTAAACATTTGTCTAAGAGTTACAGAAAGAACAGAATATTCAGTTAAGTATGGAAGCATTTTGAAAAGAGATTATCATACTGTTCTTTTAGGATGAAAAGTATAAAGGATGAAAATCTGTCTTTCACAATTGAGTGGAATGCAAGTTAGTGGCATTGTACTTTATCTTAGGCCATTGTTTTAATTTAACTTATGATTAATTTTGAAGATTTTATTGAACATTTTAAATACTATGTGTCCAACATTCAAGCCTCTGGCAATTGATTTAAGCTTTCTTCCACACAATTTCATTTGTCAAGTAAAAGACAGTTTTACTGTTTCACTGCCTCCCTAACTTGTATGTGGATAAGTGGAATACTCCTTTAAGGACACATTCTAAAGAGAGATGGAAAACAAATTACGGTTGTATTTTATCATTCACCAAATTAAGATGTAAACATCTTTTTGCCTTGTAAATCAATTGCTTTTGGTTGGAAAGTTTCACAATGATTTAAAATTAATCAGAACATCCAGATGTTGTTTGACCTAAAAGGATTTATGGAACTTTTGCCTTTGATAAATAGCCCAAACTTCAAACAAAATACCTGCATCAGGCAAAAGCAAATTATTTTTTAATTAATTTATCTGAAATACTAATAACTGGAGGAAACTGGGCTGTAGTTTTACATCTATAATCTGTAAAGTGTTCCCATGGTTTATATTCTCATACAAGAATAACTACAAAGATTTTATGGTGCTAAAGAAGCCCCTCCAAGCAGGCAAGCATCTGGGACTTTTTTGTTTGTTTGTTTTTTGTAAGAGAAAAGTGATTAAATTTAAAAGTCAAATCATTTCTTATGTTACTGCTGTGGCTGACTTTCATGCAAAATCATTTCTGTGATTCTTGTACATTTTATGATTACTCATGATTTCCTGCATAGTTTTCAAATCTAAGTGACTCCATACATAAAATAAATAGCATAAACAAAACAACATGATAAAATCACTGCTTTGTGTGAGTGCAGTTCATTCTATTTGTAACACTTGGCTGAGATATAGGATGTTTTTTTCCAGAAGGAAAAGTGCCATCTACTGAATCACCAAAAACAAACTTTGCAGCATCTTGATAGATTTTTGTGAGAGAGGTCCTTCCCAATTACTGCAAGTCTTACTCAACTTGCAAACTTAATTAATTGAGATCACCACTGACACAGTGATACGGCACCTCACTAAGTAAATATTTAATATGTTGTGTGGGTTTTTGGGTTCTTTTTTCCTTGAGTAAGTGTTCCTGGATTTCATGTGTTAATGGAAAATCAGTGAACTGTACTTTGAATGTTGTAAGATTTCTACTTTTTAAATTACTTTTGTCCCCAAAATTTCTGGGGGGACTTCTTAAGCATCCTCTGCATCTCTTTAACACCCTATAGAGGTCAACTTCTGGTAAGGAGTTGCTCTTATTTTGCCTGATTAGCCAGTTCGGGTTTGGTGAAGGTATAGACAGAAAGACTATAAAAACAATAAAGTGACAGCACATTAATAAATAACATTATATGCAGAGAAAGAAGAAAAAAATAACTGAAATTACTAAGAGACAACTTTGCTGTGGGAAAGGACTTATTAGTTAACTAAGACATGGTTTGGCAAAGTATAGAACATTTTCCAAAGGCTTTAAATTGCTTTAAAGACCAATAGGACAATATACTTTATTCAGGACTTAGAAGTGCTGTCAGTATTCTTCAGGGCTAAGCAGTAGAGACTTGAATGAAGCGCCACTGTATAATTCTGCACAGCTCTTAGAAGAATGTCACTACAGAAGTGGAAGGATTGGGAAAGTGAACATGATTAATGTCTTCAAAAGTTTGGGAAGTCTCCAAAGATAGTCACAGGCTTACAGGAATTGGATAACCACAGGATTACGGGTAAAGTCTTGTTATGACTTAAAACTAACTGATGATATAGAAGAACAGGAATCGATTATTCCTTCTTAAAATAAAAAATATTTAGCAGTGAGACGTGGCAACACTTTATACAGAGATAATCTATAAAATGCTCAAATTACTGTGCCTGTAGCAAATCTGGTAGCAATTTTGTGACAATGATAATTATTTGTACAGTAAGAAAACTGCCCCTTATCTATTTAAGCCATGTTCTGTGTAGCAAGGTATACAGTCATACAGCAACCTTAACTTCTGTCACAAAATAGGCTTTTTTCTCTAATTACAAACTAGATGTGTGCTGGTTTCTGCATAGATAATTCCACTGATAGCTTTTCATAAATGTTTTATTTTTTTCTGTTCATACTATACCCCTGAGGAATAATATTCAAACACATTAATTAAAACTTATTCAACAACTTGTGGGTTGCTTTCTTTCTAATTTAGTGGTGACTGCAGTTTGGAAATTCTGACTTAGCCAGCTTCAAAAATCATATGATGTTGTTGCTCATATAGAAACAGTTAAGTAAAAATAACCAGAGGGAATGATTTTAAAAGTCAGTGTTGGAAGAGCTTTCACTTGGTGAGATTAAAAAGAAATCTCTCATTTGACTTGAGAAAAGTTGAGAGGAAAGACAGGGGCTCTTCTTGAACATGACCTCCTTGAAATTGTTTGAAACATCTTTGAGATACTTGGGCAAAAAATTAGGCTCCATACCCACTAACATTCATAATTTCAGCCAAATATCACAAATTTTATAGTGGCAAAATGTGGAAAGATAATTACACTTCATCCTAGGCAGTAACAGGTGCTGTCAGGCCCTCTCTATTCATATCCCAGTCCCACAGTCTTCCCAGAGACAAACTGTTTGTCACCAAGTGGGATTTTTACCACGTGCAGACACACTGCTCTGGGCAAGGTTGCTTTTCCTGTCCTGCTTTAGCTAGGTTAAAACATCTCAGGCTGCCAAAACTCTTAGAAACATTTACAACATCAAAGTCAGCTGCAGCCGTGCAGGGTGATGTTCAAAGCCGGAGTTGGCTGCATGCCCTCTTCTCGCTGTTCATAGCTAGTGGAAAATAGAAATACCTAAACAAACTCCTTTTAGCTTCTTTTGCAGTAAAATGGAAAACCACCAGAGGTTAGTTATATCTTACAATCTCTTCATTTTTCTTCACAGATCCATCTCTGGAGAGTGGTAGGGGAAGGATGTGTTCAAAAGCGGCACTGGCCGGTACTTCAGAGGAAGAGCCTCATAGAATATTCGTGAAAGATACTCTGGCTCATGTGCCTCATTTATTTCTATATGGTGTGATACACAACCTTTACTTCCCAACCAGAACAGGGTCTCCTGATCATTGTGTTTCTGCAGCACAGTTTATACAGGTGAGTAAGGCCATAAAAGTGCCTTTTACGGATTTGGTGACATTTACACAACACTGTCCTTCCATAGCTCATTCCTTAGTCCAAACCGAGCCATGTACACTCCAGACGCGCCAAATCGGCCACTTAACAGCACAGGGGTGTGAGTGCCACCCCTCCAATAATGACTTTTATCAGCAGGAACAGGCACTGCTGTTGTCTTCTTCAATGGGCCAGCCACGAAAAGCGTTTCCTTTTTGGGGGCTGTTTTGGCGGGTTTTGACCTTTTTCCCCGTCAAACCCGGTGCGACCCGTCCCGCTCCCGCGGGCAGCGGCGGGGGGCTCCGGGGAGAGGCAGCGCCGCGCACCCTCTGGGAGCTACAGCACGGTGCTCTCGCCCCCACGGGCCTGCGGGCGCCGAGGAGAGGGGAGAGCATCTCTTCCGAGGAAGCCGCCGGGTCTCCGCGGCCCCCCAGAAGCGCGGGCGGTGGGCGCCCCTCCCCCGGCCCCGCTGCCGCCCGGAGCCGGGGCCGAGCCGGGCCGGGCCGGGGCGGGCCGGGCGCGGGCGGCGGCGCGGGCGGGGCGAGGCGCAGGCGCGGCGCACGGCGGGCTGCAGCCGGGCCCCCGCGCCGCTCCGGGAGCCGATGGCAGCTGCACAGCGCGGCCGCCCGGCGGAGCGCGGCGCGGCTCGGCGCCCCCGGCGCGGGATGCGCGGGCGGGCAGGCGGCGGTGGCGGCAGCGGCTGCGGCAGCTCCGGGAGCTGGAGGGACGGGGCCGGGCGGCCGGCGGCCGCCGCGCTCGCCTGACCTGCGTGCCCCGCTGGCCGCTCCGGGCTGCCCCGAAGGATGTCCGCCCAGTCCAAGGGGACCGCATCCTCCTCCTCCTCGCCGTCCGAGGGGCCGCCGGCAGCCTCCAAAACCAAGGTGAAGGAGCAGATCAAGATCATCGTGGAGGATTTGGAATTAGTCCTGGGGGACCTGAAAGATGTCGCCAAGGAACTTAAGGAGGTGAGAACGAAGGGCTGCGCGGTCGGATCCTCCGTCTGCCCCGTATGGGGCAAGCGCCCCACCGCCCGCAGGCCGGAGTCCGGCTTCCCCCGGAGCTCTGCTGCCGCCCCCAGGCTCCTTTTACAGCTTCTTCACCGCGGGCCGAGCAACTGGTGTCCAGGCCGGGCACGGGGCAGCTCCCGGCCGTGCCCCGGGGCGGGCGGCAGGGCATCGCTGCGCTGCCCGCCGTCCCGGAGCGGGCTGGAGCCCCGGGTGCCGTGCGCCCCGGCACCGCTCCCCGCCGCTGTGAGGCGGCCCTACTCGGGGACTTCCCACCTCAGGGCACCCCTCAGAGTTTTTATTTTTCCCGGGGGGAGCCTCTCCTGAGAGGTCTCTGCTGGGCGAGGGTGCTCAGGGGAGCTGCGGGACCCGCAGCAGTGCCCGATTCCGGGCTGAGCCGCGCTGGCGTCCCGGGGCTGGGAGAGAAGTCAGGAACGAGCCCGCTGCCGCTCCAACGAGTTTAAGTTTTGGGCTGCGCGGTGCAGCAGCAGCGTGCTGGCCCCGAGCGGCAGCAGCCCCAGCCCCAGCCCCAGCCCCGCTCGCACCTGCCCGGCCGTGAGCAGCCCCAGCCCCGGACCCCGCACCCGCCGCCCTTGGCGCGGTGAGGCTGCCTCAGCCGCTGCTGCCGCTTCACCGGGAGCTCAGCGCCCTGCTTATCGGCCCTATCTGGCAAGGTTGCCTTCGCAGTCTCTCTTTTGCTGGTGGCGGGTGTCATCTCATCTACGTTAATCTGCAGGCAGAGTGCGATTGCCGCGGGCATGTTCATGAGCAGGGAAATGCAGTAGCTGGAGGAAAAGAATTTGGCTGTCCTTTTGGAGATTTCCTCTTTATCTTGATTTTGCTACACAACTGGTCGACAGATGGTTGGATTATGCACCGAGATTCAAGTCTAGAATCTCTGTGTATTGCTTTATAATCCTATATTTGACATTTGTAATAGGCTTCGGTTTTTTGCCTTCATATATTTTTCTATTTTAACAACATTGTCAACAAGTTTCTTTCAACCGTCTTTTGCCATCTGAGGCAGTCTGAAATTCACCCAGTGCTTTGTATAATGTTGAAAGATGTATAAACACATGGCTCACTAATCACAGCTGTTAGGCTCTTTTTTCACTCACAATGAAGGTTCCTCCTTTTTTCTTTTTAATATACCTATAATTTATCTTTTTCTTAATGTTCTGCTGTCTATGCTTTGCAATTTTTTGAGGTATTTTGAAATAGAAATAAACAATATTTATAGAGCACCTCTTTAAACGTTTTTAAGACTGATAGCGTAAACTGGCTTCTGTTGCTGCAGAAGCACATTTTCAGGACCTGGAAAGGATGTAATGTGCTCTGTCCCATGAATGTAAATCGTTCCCTGCACGTAGTCAGTCCTGGCTTTCTTCTAGTGAGCAAACAGGATCGCTGTAAGTGGAGATCGTATATCATCATTTACTGTGGCATGTTTTATCTAAGCAAACTTGTCTGCTCTGGTTGACTGAGTCTGTAAAAGAGAACCGGATTTACCTCTGCTTGGTAGGGAAACCTGTAGAGAAATGGAGCTGTAACTCTGTTAAGTACTGTGTACCTGTTGAAGGGTGCAAGGATTGCCAATGGCATCTGCTTTGAGAAAATGAAGGCGTTTTTTATAGAAAGAATAGTTAAATCTTGTTTCTGACTACACATGAGGTTTTTAGTAATGCTTTTCACCAAATATGCCTTACAAAGATGGTAGCTCTGATATTCCAACCACTATGAGTTGCATACATGTACATCTGCTTCATTTGTGTAACATTTGTTTTGGAAAGTCTGCAAAAGTTTGGCATCTGAGTACCTTTAGTTTGTCTGCCTTTATAGGATGGGCTAAATCTGCACAAAAACTCTTGACATAACTGCGTTGTATACTTTTTATGTAAAAGTGAGGTAATTGGTGATGTTATAGGCTGATAACCAGTCTCTTTCTCAGGTGGTTTGTAGGTGTTAGGAAGGAATGATAAGCTCTTTGTTAAAGCTTACAGAAAGTTAGTCTGTAGTCAGTTTTGGTGTATTACGCATAGAAATATGACTGTGCTTCATTTAGGTTCCCTACTGTAGGACCAGTCAAAATGATGAAATAGAGGATGGAAAGTTCACACTTTCCACTTTCACTGCAAATTCTGTATTTCTGGAAATGTTGTTGCTGCCTTTTTTTTTTTTTTTTCCCACGGTGTTTGCTGCAGCCCAGCTGTTGAGCTGCAACCTTTTCTGTTACTTTTTTTTTTAATGAGTAATATTGTATACTAGAAACAGCATTTCATTTTTTTTATTACTATTTTAAAAGTTTTCCATTCTGCTACAGTGGGAGGGCATGAAAGTTTTTTAGCCCCTTTTTGTGTACTTCCAGAAATATTTATTCAGTTGTGGTGTAGAAAATACAATGGTACTGTAACTTTTTTTGTTTACATAATTTACATAATTTTTAAAACACATTCTTTTCATGCCTACCTATTTGTTACCCTTAAATATAAATTATGATTATTCTTAATGGAGCACTTAAGTTATTATGATAGACTTCATGACTACCTTTCAGTCTTCTTTTTTAAGATTCATAGTCAAAGTACTGTCAAAATGAAACACCATTTTGTTGCCTCCAAATGAACTGCTCTGTAGCAGTAAGTAGCATAGCTATACAGCATTTATGTTTTATTACATTTAGCTTGTTATGCTTCACTTACATTAATATATTTGCATCTGCCCTTTTTTCTGAACCTTTTTCTGATTGGTTCTTTAACATTTTTTCATGTTTTTAAAAAGAGGAGATTGAGGAGTGAGTAGAGGATGGCACGTTAAACCCAAGTGGGCAAACCATTAAGTTTATAAATATTCTCTAGAAGCGTGTGACTAAATCATGCAGATTAAAACAAGTACATTTTAAGAATTACTGTGTCTCAGAAGTGAAACATCCCTTTCTTCCCTCCCTCTCTCCCCCTTATTTATTGTTCCAGTCTGATTAGGCTAAGGTAACCACAGAAGATTTAGGATGGAGCCAGGGGCGTGCCTGGGAGGCGTGGAAGGATGGAGCAGTGCTGAGTCCAGAGTCTGAGCTCGTGTATGGCTAGCCTTCTCCAGAGTGCTGTTAATTTAGGAGAGGCTTGGATGGACCCTTTTGTCTCCTTGTGTGGGTGTGTAGCAACAATGGGATGTGGTTTTGCATTGAAAAATGGATTGGAAATGGTTTAAGTTGCTGTTATTTAATTAATATTCCAAAGAAAAATCAAAAGGGTGCCAGAGGATTGAGTAACACTTTCTATTCCTTTAGCCCAGACTACTTCAAAATTAAGTTGGTGGAACCTTAAGCTTTGGTTGTCCTCCAGAGGATTGAATGAAAGACCTTTTTCACTGGAGTTTGTATAGAAAAATGGTTATCATTAAGTCTTTTTTGGAACTGATACTTATCTCTCTGGTACCTAAGTACCTAAGTAATGTACTGTTGGAAAACAAAAGATGTGTGCTAATTGAACTATTGTAGAATGCATTATGTAGCCATCTGATTACTTCAGAAGGGATTGTAGGGGATATACATGTACACCTGTGGACAGCAGGGCACAGAGATTTATATAACCTTATAATGATAATATATTTTTTAAACCTTCCTTGCATTCACATTTTATGGTAATGTTACACATTTTCTGTGGTCTTGTGCTTGTTTTCATGAAGGAAATACTTAACTAAATAATTTGATAAATACTTTTTGTAATAATAAAAATTCATCTTGCAGAACAAATTCCTGGAAGTTATGTGTGAGGCATTTGCATAGCTTTTAATTGGCTAAATATGCTCCAACCTTTTATCGAAAGGAAGCAGCTGTGTAGCTATTGCCAGTGTTTAGAATACTCCAAAATGGAGGTGCAGGAGAAACAGAAGCCCTCACAGGCATTGCAACTACATCAGTGAATTTCCAGTCATTTGAATCTACCTCCTCTGCTTTGAATCCTGTGAAAATGTCTTGCTGACAGAATGAGTACATTATCTTCTGTCATATAAATGATGTGTTTATTTTCTGTAAACATATGATCTATATAATTTCAGCATTACTTAATAAATAAATATTTTCTAAGTGATGATGAGACTAGCAGATATCAACCCCCTCCCCCAAAACACCAGGACAAAGTTTGTTACAGGACAAACGACCTGATTCCATAAGCGGGCCACTCATCACTCTCTTCAGTGAAGGGTGGTCATGTGTTCTGTGGTTTTAATTTCTGGATCAGGACTGCAGAAGTGTATTACAATTTCAGCTGCTGGTTTTTTCCATTCTATTTCTGGTTTTGTGTTCTGGTAACTGTCCAGATGGCAGAAGGTACTTCAAGTTCTTGCCTGTTAAACCAGAAACTAGGAGGTGTCAGGTCCACCAGCAGGACTGGAGCAGCAATACTCAATCACATATGAGTATCTCTGATGTGCACACAGTGAAGGCACTAATATAAAAGTGTTTTGGGTTCACATTGCTGCATGAAGATGAGGTGGGGACTTATTACAGCATAGGTACAGGAAATACTATATAGAAAACTAAGGATAGGTAGAAAAATAGCAAAACGTTTTAATCCATTCCTTTTCTCCTGGTTCTTGCCTCTTTGGATTCTGTCCAGGTGTCAAGGACCTGCCACTCTTTTTTGCTAGGTAGTGGCAGTTGGAGCTTTTTGTGCATAGGCGTTCCTACCATTAGAAATCCAAGTAAATGCAGATGCCCTGCTTAAACCTGGATGAGGGATGCAGGCCCTCTTAATAGTGTTCCTTCTGGAGACTTTTCTTCCATGTATGCACTGGCTGTGTATACAGATCCTGGTCAGTAAGGTGTGTGAGGGACTGAAGCTTTTTTGTAAAATTTTTTACTGTGGCTGGGATTGGGGTCCAGTTCATGTACCAGGATCAAGGTGTTGCATGAATAAAGGCAGTTGCCATTCCAAAACTTGCTAGTCTCTCCAAGATTAACAGATTTT